CATCGTCGATGGAGGAGAAGAGCAAGGGAGGGGGTGTCGTCCTTCGAGGAAAAGAATTGGAGAGGAGAAGGTTTAAATCTGTGATTGAGGAGAAGAGGTAAGGAGGAGAAGGATTGAATTGAAATCTGCGTTTGAGGTGAAGAGGTGGGGAGGAAAAGGTTTAAATCTGGGATTGAGGAGAAGGTCTTTAGATCTAGCTGCCAAAAAGAGTTAGGAAAAATAGATATAATAGATATTGTTAGGAATATAGCGGAATAATGCGGAAGCGAACGAATCGAAAATTGAGAATTATAGAAGTATAATAATAGGGAAAATATAATTAATGACAAAAAGAATTAATAAGAATGGGAAAATATAAATATATATATATTACTATCCAGAATGAACATAATATATATATATATAAGTATGCTAGTGAGAAAGAAAGAATGAATATAATATATATTGAATTGATGTACATTTGAATTACAAAGTGACTAAGCTATTTATACTAAGAGTATTGCGCATGTGATGGGAGCAGTGATGGAGCTACGTGAATGTTGGAGCACAATGAGGATAGCATGCAACGTGGATGGGAGGCGAGTGATGCATGATTTGAGCCACATATTCCAACAATCTCCACCTTGGATCAAATCCATTCTGTAGGAATTAACAATTGGAACAGTCGACTAAACTCAAACACTGCTTGAACTTAGCAATAGGAGGAGCCTCATAATAGCAGGATGGATCATCATCAACCTCCTGTGCGACTGAAAGAGCATAAGCAACCATATTGGTTTCATCGTCACTAGCGTACCTAGCAGGTTTCTTGATTGTCCTCCTAGGCCGGTCCATAGCAATGGAATACTCTCGTTGTGGCTCGACGAGAGGTGTGGGGCTAGTAGATGCATCATCTTTAGTATTACCATCAGCAGTAGTAATACTATCAATAGGCCTGAATTCAAACTCCACCTTCTCACCAGTACTCTGTGTCTCACCTGTACTGGGAACTTTTCCAGAAGAAAGTAGTGCATTTTCATCAAAAGTGATATCTCGACTCAGAATGATTTTCCGAGAATCAGGAGACCATAGACGATACCCTTTTGACTCAGAAGCATAACCAAGGAAAATGCATTTGACAGCTCTCGGGTTTAATTTACCCGTACTGGAATGAGCATAAGCAGGACATCCAAAAACTCTTAAGATAGAGTAATCAACAGGATTACCTTACCAAACTTCCTCTGGAATTTTGAAATCAAGGGATGAATGTGGAGATCTATTTACCAAATAGCAAGCAGTAGAAACGGCCTCGGCCCAAAAATCACGTCGTTTCCATAACCCAGCATTAGAGAGCATACAACGCGCTCTTTCCAATAGAGTCCTGTTCAAACGTTCGGCAACACCATTCTGCTGGGGTTTACCAGGCAAGGTCTTGTGCCTGGCGATTCCATTTGCCGCACAGAAGTCATTGAAATCTGACTCACAGAACTCCAAGCCATTGTCTGTCCTGAGCTTCTTGACTTTTTTACCTGTCTGAGTCTCAACAAGTATTTTCCACTTCTTGAAAATAGAAAATGCTTGATTTTTATGTTTCAGGAAATAGACCCAGACTTTACGAGAAAAGTCATCAATAATAGACATAAAATATCTACAGCCTCCCATAGACTGGAATTTAGTCGGTCCCCATAAATCGGAATGTATATATTCCAATACATCTTTGGTACGATGTGTAGCAGTAGAGAAACTAACCCTCTTTTGTTTCCCAAAAACACAATGCTCACAAAATTGTAATTTACCCGTACCTGAACCACCAAGGAGGCCTTTCTTGCTCAGGAGAGCCTTTCTCACTCATATGCCCCAGACGCATATGCCATAATTGAGTGAGATTCGCATCAGACATCGATGAGGATACCGCTACTGAACCTGTCACAGTACTGCCATGCAACACGTACAAGCTTCCAGAACGAGAAGCTTTCATGAGAACAAGAGAGCCTTTTATGATTTTCAGAACTCCACCTTCAGCTATGTACTTGCACCCCAGAGATTCCAAGGTGCCCAAGGATATCAGATTGCGTTTCAAATCAGGAATATACCGAACATTGGTAAGAGTCCTGACAACATTATCATGAGTTTTAATCTGAACACTTCCAATTCCACTAACCTTGCATTGGGTATCATTACCCATCAAGACAACTCCACCATCAACCGGTTCTAGAGAGACGAACCAGTCTTTGTGAGGACACATGTGGAATGTACAACCAGAGTCCAGAATCCACTCAGTTTTACTCCGTTTATCACCGGAGCTAACAGATAACAAAACATCACCTTCTGAATCACTTTCAACAACACTAGCTTCAGCAGACTTCTTTTCTCTCTCTTGTTTGTTTTTCAACTTGAAGCATTCAGTCACATCATGACCCTGCTTCTTGCAGTACTTACAGGATTTGTTGGACTTACGTCCTTTGGACTTGGATCTAGATTTTTTATTGCTACTCTCTGTTTCAAGTGAACGACCCCTTACAATTAAGCCTTCACCTTTGTCCTCAGACTTAATTTCAGAGTCAAACTTTTCTTTGGACAATAGGTTTGACTTAACATTGTCAAAAGTAAGGGTATCACTACTGTTACCATACAACATAATTTCTTTGAAATGCTTGTACGATTTAGGGAGAGAGACAAGCAATAAAACAGCACGATCCTCATCTTCAATTACGACATCAATATTTTCCAAGTCCAATAAAATAGAATTAAATTCATCCAAGTGAGATTTAATCGAAGTACCTTCCGTCATACGGATTGTGTACAGACGCTCCTTCAGGCGTAGCGTGTTCGCCAGAGTTTTGGCCATGTAAAGCGTATCCAGCTTGGACCATAAATCTGACGCAGTCGTCTCACTTAACACCTCACGTAGAACCTCTTTAGACAGGCACAAAAGAATGGTTGAACGTGCCTTGTCATCCAGATCTTCCCAGTCTACATCTGTCATTGTAGCCGGTTTCTTCTTCTTCCCAGCTAGCGCTTTCTTCAAACCGTTCTGGGTTAGAACGGCTTCCATCTGAACCTTCCAGATAGAAAAGCTAATTTTCCCGTCGAACTTCTCGATATCGAACTTAGTAACAGTCGACATCTTTGAAAATAATTCTCAAATAAACCGCTCTGATACCACTTGTTAGGAATATAGCGGAATAATGCGGAAGCGAACGAATCGAAAATTGAGAATTATAGAAGTATAATAATAGGGAAAATATAATTAATGACAAAAAGAATTAATAAGAATGGGAAAATATAAATATATATATATTACTATCCAGAATGAACATAATATATATATATATATATAAGTATGCTAGTGAGAAAGAAAGAATGAATATAATATATATTGAATTGATGTACATTTGAATTACAAAGTGACTAAGCTATTTATACTAAGAGTATTGCGCATGTGATGGGAGCAGTGATGGAGCTACGTGAATGTTGGAGCACAATGAGGATAGCATGCAACGTGGATGGGAGGCGAGTGATGCATGATTTGAGCCACATATTCCAACAGATATTTATATATTGGGCAGCTGCGCAAATGGCCAAGTGTTTTTTAGGTCTGTTTGCGATTTAAAAAAAATTATTCCGACCACAGTATTTGGTGGTCGGAAAATGAGATTAATTTAAATATTTAGCAAAATTGTCCGGCCACAATATAAAAAGTGATTGAAATTACCGACCACTTCGTAAATGTGGTCGGAAATTCCGACCAATTTCCGACAACGCTTCTATTTGGACGAAAAAACGAAAAAAAGTCAATTTTTGCGATCAAATTTTTAGGTGGCCGGAAAGAGGTCAGAAAATGGATAATTTCCAGCAGTGATACACTCATGCGTGGGGCTATTCAGTGGGCACGACGATCATAAACATTCAAATGTCTGGCTTTAGAATGGGTGATTATATATGTTTGTTGTACAATTTGTAAACTTTGTAATGGTTGCTGTTGAAGTGGTTTTGTCCAAGCTGATATAAACACTTTAATGTTAAGACATAAAAATTTACCACCAATCAACATAAACACAATATACTGTAATTGTGCAGCGCAGATCTAGATTTAATGCAACACCCAATACCTTGGTGTGCAATGTAGTGGAATGGACTGTGCATTTTGAGAATGAATTTACCAACACTGCCTTGCATTTTGGAAAAACCAAATAAGCTATGGGGTTTATTCAAGGGAGAAGGAATAAACACTGAGAGATGTGCATGGAAATGGTTTTAGACACTTTCAATTATTTCAAAACATTCAAATGTTTAATTTTAGAATGGATGATTATATTTGTTTGTTATTTAATTTGTAAACTTGTAATGGTTTCTTTTGGAGTGGTTTTGTCAAAGTTGATTTAAACACTTTAATGTTAGTCCTATATAAAAATTATCCACCAATCAACATAACCAAAATATATTGTAATTGTGCAGCGCAGATCTAGATTCAATGCAACACCCAATACCTTGGTGTGCAATGGAGATGAACAGACTATGCATTTTGAAAATGAATTTACCACCACTACAGTGCATTCTAAAAAAAAAAAAAAAAAAAAAAAAAAAAAAAAAAAAAACCAAATAAGCTATGGTTTATTCAAGGAGAAAGGAAAGAAACATAGAAAGTTGTGCATGGTAATGGTTTTGGACACTCATTTATTTCAAAATATTCAAATGTCTTCTTTTAGAATGAATGAATATATTTGTTATTTAATTTGCAAACTTTGTAATGGTTGCTTTTGGAATGGTTTTGACAAAGCTGATTTAAATACTTTAATGTTAATCGCATAAAAATTATCTACCAAACAAGATAAACAGAATATACTTTAACTGTGCAGCACAGATCTAGATTTAGTGCATCACCCAATACCTTGATGTGCAATTGAGAAGAATGACTGTGCATTTTGAAAAGGAATTAACAACACTAATGTGCATTCTAGGAAAACCAAATAAGCTACTACGTATGATTTATTCTAGGGGAAAGGAAATACACACAGAACGATGTGCAACCAGCAACCTAGATTTGTGAATGTACAAATGAATTGACCACCAAGATATCATGCATGAACCTCTTACGCAAATTATTAAGCATGTCCATGTCACTTTTGACTATACCACACGTCAAGTTTGAAACACTCTAACCCAAATTCGATTTATGTGGCGCATAGAATAAATGGCATTATCCTCCAAGATGGTTGCGTCCCTCCAATGACATTTGCATCCACTTCGGTTACAAGCATTGCACGCAATCCGCTCGATCATAAACGAGCCAAGTAATGCTTGTTGCAATGTCCACAAAGAATACACCAATTAGACACATGAACCCACTTTACAGATCAGAATACAAGATAGTAAAACACATGAGCCAAGTGTGAATGCACGACAAAATACAGTGTAATGCACCACTAAATCATTCCTCACGCATAACAAATATCACCACGTTGCACAACACCAATCATGAAACGTCAAACACGGAAAAGTAAGCACCACAAGCATGGTGGTAAAATTGGAAACAATATTACAAAATATTTGTGACCTTACCAAGTCTACGGGAGCGTTGCCATATAAAGCTTTTAGGAGTGCGAGTAGGACAATTGTCTATGATATACATCATCATCTTCATCAAGTCCACACTTATGACGTAATAGTGTCCAGGATCACCAGAGGTTAAAGGAACTACAACAGAAAATTAAAGTCATAAACATCAAATAATAACCATCTAAGGCAACACTAAAATGGTAGCAGTACCAAAGGTTACCATGTCAATCGTTTTCCAAGACCTGAGTTGAGTTATATAATAGTCTTCATCTAGGCGATCACACCAAACCACTCACATCTTTCTTCCTTGCCATTTGATGTCTCTACCACTGTCTGTGTTTGTGTTGAAATGCACAAATTAGTATTTAAAGTGAATAGTATCTTGTAGAAATGACTACCGTCGTCCACGTGGAAACGAAGAACCGGATGGGGTCCTCTGGTTTTCTTTCTTTTTCTTTTTCATTCAAAACACTAGCCCAAGCGTCAACAATAGCAACCCGAACCTCACATTCCTTTTGCACCAACGCAAGATATATTTGATAAAATTATTGATTTTCTTAAGCATTAAAATGATATACTTAATTATGGTACACATACATCTGCCTTGAATAATTCATACTGATCTGTGATTCCATTGAACAATGAAAATTGATAGTTCTGAACATGAAGAAACTCCGAAGCTGGTTCTTTTATGATAATCTAAAAAATAGTTAGGAACATACCAGTCTAAATTCAAAACCCATTATTATAAAGTCCATAGAGTTATGAAATGTTAAAGTTGTTGCCTCTGTTGAAAACTAAAGTTATCCACTAGCTATGCATAATAATTGGAGAATATTTACTGCCATTTTGAATTTTCTTTCTTCAATTTCCATGGTAAATAAGAAAGATATAAATGGGCATTTAAAATGATAGGTGAGCTTATACATAGTGGATCAGTTCTGATATCTTCTAAAACATCAGTTGCACACAAAAACTACTCAAGGTGCAATATTCAAATATTATTTCAAAAAATCACTGCCGTATTATTCAAAATTTAACATTAATTTTTTTTTTAACGAAAAAGAAAACGTTAATTTAATACGCAGAAACACAAATGTACATCTCAAGAACACTTTCCTGCCTCTATTTAAATTCACATTTTTGCACTTGAACTTACAGTCCATTCACCCAGGAGAGGCATTGTGCGATTGCAATAATAATACATAAATTGAACAACATAGAGGGTACATTACCACAGGAAAACAGCCATTAAAACACGGAATGCAACAAAACAGACAACAAAAACGCAAAAATCAAAACCCTAGATAGAATACGCAAGGCCGACGAATGATGTACCTGCGACCTCCGCATGTTTTCCCCGTCAGCTGCAGTCGTTCGTTGCTCTCTATCGCCGACAATGCAATGGAGAACCAAGGGACGAAACGGACGAGCAAAAAGAGCAGCACCTCCAAAAGTGCACGTCTAAGAAGAATGATGACTACCTTCGAAAAGGGGGAACTCGACATTTTTGGTAGACCGAGAGGGGTAATCTAAAATTGACTAGGAAATTAAGTTTAATTACAAATGAAAAATTACCTAAAGGCCCTCCTTAGTGTGTTGGAGTTTTAAAAACGCGTACAAACGGAAGAAAAAAAAAAAGAATAAAAACAATTGAATCACATCCGTAGGATCTTTTAATTGAAAGGACTAGATAAGTCCACAAGGTCCTCACTTAACTATAGTCTATAGGTCCTCACCTGATCCTGTTTCTATATATATATGTTATAACATAGATAAGTATAATATTCATAAGGTGTAGATGAGATATCATAGTCTTTCTAACTTAACCAAAGGTATTTTAAAATTGCATAGAAAGGTATTCTAATATGGAAAAATATTTGATACACTGTCAATGTATTACACCTATACATCATCAATTTACTATAATGTGACACCTCATCCAAAAGAAATTACACCATTAATTATGTATTGTTTTGTTAAAATATAATACTTTGTAGATTAAAATATTTTTTTCATAAATAAATTCATAATAATATTATAAAGAGAAAATAAACAGGAGAAGGTAGGAGAATATTTTAAAAAGAGATGTTGCTAATTAATTAATGTCACGAGGGCTGTTTTCAGTAATATTGAGGGTGTCACAGTTGTCAGAATGTCACTGGATTAACAAACCTGAAGAATTAAATTGATAAGATACAACTAGCTAGCCCATTGTTCCCAAAGGTTGGATCTCTTACAGATCAGAGTAGATCATGTTCAAAGTCTTAGACCGTTTAGACAATGACTCGTGCCAGTGTTAAGCATATAAACATAAATGTGTAATCAAATTATCAATTTAAACTTTTAGTTGAGATAGAAGTATAGAACACATGCATGCTTCAATTGCCAGAATTATCCAAAAAGTAGTTTTCTCAAGCCTGTAGATCAGATCATTTTTCACCATTGAATCACGCCAGAAGAGGCTACTCAAACCATTGGACACTAACCGTACCTCATTGTGAAATCTCTCCAAAGATACCCATTTGTATCCCATCTTGATTTTACCCTCTGATATGTCAAATCCGAGATTGGATGATGAAATGCTCATACGGTTTCAATTTCCAACTCATGTATGTAAGGCCACCTTCAGGTCTATTGACCTTTCGCGCTCAAGGTTTTTCAACAATATAATGTGGAATTGCCGAGCTTAATTGGCTTTGCGAGCGTTGCTCGGGTTTGTTGAGATTGATCAATTTGTGTAATGCCACAGAGTTTACAGACTGCATGGCGCATGCCATAGCCAAGGTGGAGAACGAAAAGCTGTGGTCGGGAATGGAAGATTCAAGCTGATATCGGATAGCATAGTTGTGGGGTGCAAGAAGCTGAGATTGCTGTCTCTAGAGCGATGTGTGAGAGTTGGCGATTTAGGTGTGAGTTTGATTGCTATCAATTTAAGTGCAAGGTTATCTGCAGTTTGGGTCTCTCGTTACTTGTCGACCTGTAAATATAATCGTCTTTTCTAATCTTTTGATTCCCCTCATTATCATTACATGCACAAAGCTCAAACATGACGTGATTGTATCCCATTAATCTAATTCTTCAGTTTTACTAATCCGGCTACATTTTGACCGGTGTGACACCCCATATATTTACAAACAACGTAAATTGCGAAAACAACAAGTAAATGGTGGTGGTTAGACTCTCTAACTCTAATGATTTCCCATGTTAACCCAAATGGACTCATTACTCAAAACCGATCGATACCATTCCCCGGCACATGCGCCATTTGAAAGTGGTTTTAGTGGTGATGTTTAGTCATCCTCAAAGAATGGCTTTAAGGGAATCAAGTAATGAGGGGTTAAGCATGGGTTCATATAGGATTTGAAAGCTAACCAATAGATGTTGGAGTATTGCATGTTCAAATAGTCTATAAAGTTAACAATCAAGTGAATTACAAGATAATAGATGAAGAGAGATTTGAACCAAACATCCTTGCAAGAGTCCCTTGTGTGACTAAGGTTTAAGTTATGCAATTCTAGATGACAAACTTAGGGATATAGTCTAAGTTTCAATGTCACACTCTCGTGATCAATTTGACTGTCAACTATTATGAAATAGAGAACTTGATTTAAACTTACAAAGTAAATCTAGAAATAATTTATGTTGAATTTAAAATTGCAAGGGTTAATCTTCCACTAGATAATGGATTACAAGTATAGAAGGGTTCTAAGATGGATTTGTGTAGAGAAAACTAGAGGGAGAAGTCAGAAATTGAAAACTATATAAAAAATAACCACTAAAAACTATTATTTATATTTTAAAGTTCGCACCAACTCAGAACCCACTAGACGAGGAGTCATGCACAGTGGGACTCACACCGTATGAGTCTCACCGTGAGTCTCAATGATAAGAAACTGATCATTGAGACTCACGATGTGAGTCTCAGCTAGGTTTCCTTATCAGAAACTCAGTCGCGGACTCACGCTGGCACTCACCGTGTAAGTGTCCGCGTGAGTCTCCTCCATATGGCCTTCACGCTACCAATTTGCTCTTTCGTTCCCCGGTGTGCTCGCGGGTGCTTTCTTTGTGCCCTAATACCTCGTTTTCCCAAGATTAACTTCCTTTCATGCTTGCTTGCTCCATTACTTGATCTTTTCTCCCTTCAATCAAAAGTACACCAATTTAAGCATTGTTCTACCTTCTTTTACCTAACATTGAGCCAAAAACAAGAATAAATGAGTAAAATATAAGGCTATTTCATGGCGTGTCAAATCTCCCCACACTTAGACCTTGCTAGCCCTCAAGCAAGACAAATCCAAGCAATCACAAATAGAATTGCCAAATACACTCATCATAATTATCCTACTTCTTCTAAATGATTGTGCAAACATGTGATGGAAAAGAGTTTGGGCAGGAAAACATAAATCGAGATTTTGTTTTTAATAATAGTATAGATTATTAATTAATTAATTAATTAAAGAAGAAGAAGAAATCATATTACATATAGTTTTTTTTAAAAGATAACTAGTATTTTCATCTGTGCATTGCACGGATGAATTTGTTATAATATATTAAGAATATTTGGGTCGTTATACAATTATTTAAATTATAACATCAAATATTATATAGTGCAATTGAAGATATGGTTTGGATCGTTTATGTCTGTTGATGCTATCATTACTTGATAATTGCTCAAATTAATAGCTAATGTGTAGATGTACGCATGCGGTGTTGTAACTTTAGAGATTTTATATATCATTGTTTACAATTTTTATAAATTAGGCAAATGTGACCTTCCAATCTTGTGATGATGAGCCGCGTCCCATTACAAATACCAAGAGAGTGGACTATGTTCCGCAATAACATAACAGGTGCACCGACCTTTAATGTCAATGAACGATGAATGATTAGGAAGACACGACAATCTCAAACTATTTAAGAATGCAGGAGTGTGTACTTCTGATAGATTTACATTGTTTGATTCTATCTTACACAAAGAGTTACAAATTAAATATGTTTGTCCTTCTACAGTATTCATGTCGCATATGTACTGATTAGTTTGATCAACGACATCTAAAGTCGGCGAGAGGATCGCTCGGCCTTCTAGCTGTGACTCATTAAGAATGTCATATCTCGAGCTTGGGAAGGTGCTTTCAACAAAAACTGTGCTAGAATATCGATCTCAAATGAACTGCCGTTTACAACCCCTGCAATCCCATATTCGATCTCTGCAATCCATTTTGAAAACCAATCAACCGTTTGTCTATCTCCCTCTGAAACTAAGGTCCGTAGTTTCAAGTTATTTGTGAACCTTAATACCTTGCAATTTGTCCACAAGTATGAAGAATTAATAGTTGCTCTGACAACGATTGGTCTTGCTGTTTTTGGAATAACAGGTAGGATATGTCTAAAATTGCCACCCAAAACTATTGTCTTTCCACCAAAAGTCTATTCAGCACTACCCGGTATGACGAACCTCAATATATCACTCATGATTTTATCCAAAGCCTCAAAATAGTGTTTGTGTGTCATCAATGTTTCATCACATATTATCAATTTACTCATTATTATAAGCTCAGCAAGGTCAATGCATTGCGATATATTGCACGTGAAATCTTCGTTCAAAGGGAGTGGTATAGAAAATCTGGAATGCGATGTCCTGCCCTCCCAGCAAGAGCAAAGAAGCTATTTCACTTGAAGCAACATTCAAAACAATATCACCGCGGCTCCTTTTTTATATATAGTATAGATAGTATAGATTATAATACGAATTGTATTACACAATTTTACAATATTAGAATAGAATTTTAACCCAGAATTATAGTACAAATGAGAAAGTAGAAAACAATATATTTATTAGGAAGAGAGATTTTTTAGGAATTGGGCGGGAAGTTAAAGTTCAGGATTTTGTTTTTATATATAGTATAGATTATAATACGAATTGTATTACACAATTTTATAATATTAGAATAGAGTTTTAACCCAGAATTATAGTACAAATGAGAAAGTAGGAAACAATATATTTTATCAGGAAGAGAGATTTTTTAGGAATTGGGCGGGAAGTTAAAATTCAGGATTTTGTTTTTATATATAGTATAGAAGTATAGATTATAATACGAATTGTATTACACAATTTTACAATATTAGAATAGAATTTTAACCCAGAATTATAGTACGAATGAGAAAGTAGAAAACAATATATTTTATTAGGAATAGAGATTTTTTAGGAATTGGGCCGGAAGTTAAAGTTGAGGATTTTGTTTTTATATATAGTATAGATATAGATTATAATACGAATTGTATTACACAATTTTACAATATTAGAATAGAATTTTAACCTAGAATTATAGTACGAATGAGAAAGTAGAAAACAATATATTTTATTAGGAAGAGAGATTTTTTAGGAATTGGGCCGGAAGTTAAAGTTCAGGATTTTGTTTTTATATATAGTATAGATAGTATAGATTATAATACGAATTGTA